TGCGGGAGGATGGCTTGAGCCCTGAGTTTGAGGCTGCAGTGAGCTAAAATCACTTTATTGGATCCTGGCCTGGGCAAAAGAGGGAGACCCCATCTCAAACAACAAGCAAACATGTTCACACATGCCAGAATACGTTTGGCTAGTTGTTGAAAAATTACAAACATATCAATATCTGCTGCCTTAAATGATGCTGTGATCAATGAAGTTTGGAGGATAAATTATGGCCTCTGTCCTCGCTGAGACTGATCCAGTCTCTCCTAAACACCATCCCTTATCAGCTTCCATAAGAATCCACTCACACTACCCATCTCAGATTTTCTGAATTTTGACCAAAGGTTTTGGAGGCCACTGGGTGCATCAGATTTGTTGCAGCACAGCCCTGTTGTGATTGGAGTGCAATCTAACACCAGGTCCACGTGCACGTGATGATGGGGCCGCCTATACTGCCATCAGTGTGCATCTGGAAGGCACAAATGATCTGCCAATGCTATTAACACTTCTTTGAAAAGTGATTTCGGAGTATAGTCCACTTTAAATTACATCCTCTTGAATTTGGGGGCTTTGTGTTGAATTTTATTCCTACTTTATCACTGTTTAAGGCATTTCCTGGTTTTAGTGTCAGCTTGAATTTGTAGGATTTCCTAGCGTTAAATGATCAAAAAATGATAATCGCTGTCATTATTTCATCACCTCTCCTTCATCATGCTTTTTACTGCATCTTTGGTTTTACAATGACACAGTTATAAATGACATCAAGAAATTGATCTAAAATATATTCTGCAGCATATAAATGAAGTATTTGGTTGCAAATTTATGAAGGTTTAACAACTTCTTTGCTAATTTAGTCTTCCAAACTTTGTGTTTTTGAAATAATTTTGAATTTACATGAAAGGTATAGAAATAGCAGAGGGCACCAGTGTACCCTACACCCTGATTCCCCAATTGTTAACATTTCTGAGAAGTTGAGGGTATGATACTCTACTGTTCCTAATACTTCAGTATATATTTCCTAAGTACAGGAACTCTCCTATATGACCACAGGGCAACCATAAGAATCAGGAAATTCACACTGATCTGGTGCTACCATCTAAACCATAGGCCTCAGTCATATTTTGCTGATTATTCTAATAATGCCCATTAGGTCCACAATCCAATCCAGGATCATATGCATTTAGTTTTTGTGTCTTTTAGTCTCCTTCAATATGAATCAGTTGCTCATCCGTTTTTGTTTTGACCTTCATTTTTTTTTTTTTTTTGAGATGGAGTCTTACACTGTCACCCAGGCTGGAGTACAGTGGGGTGATCTCAGCTCACTGCAACTGCTGCCTCCCACATTCAAATGATTCTCTTGCCTCAGCCTCCTGAGTAGCTGGGATTACAAGCTCCCGTAACCACACCTGGCTAATTTTTTTTTTTTTTTTTTTTGTATTTTAGTAGAGATGGGGTTTCACTATGTTGGCCAGGCTGGTCTCGAACTCCTGACGTCGTGGTCTGCCTGCCTTGGTCTCCCAAAATGCTGGGATTACAGGTGTGAGCCACTGTGTCCAGCTGATCTTGTACCTTTTAAAAAAGGTACAAACCAGTAACTTTGTATATCCATTAACTTTGAATATCCCTCAATTTGGATTTGGTGATATCTCCTGATTTATGCATCTTTGCAGATACACCACTAAAATGAAGCTGTGCTCAGTACAGAAGAGCAGAGACACATAGTGTTAATTTGCCGTATCACCAGTTTGGCTAACTTTTATCACTAGGATAAGATAGTATTTGCCAGGTTCTAAAGTTATTCTAAAGTTAATAAGTATCATGTAATTATTAATCAGTGAGTAGTTAAAAAGTACTCTGTGGGGAAATATTTTGAGGCTATGTGGATACAGTCGACACCCATTATTTGTGGCAGATATGTTCTATAAAGTCACTGTGAACACTGGATTAACCTGGACTAAGCTTCGCTCCTATGGGAGGTACGGGGTTTGGTTCCAATGACAACATAATCCTCAACAAATCAGTCAATACATGACCTTGCTTTATGTATCTTTCTGTTTAAAGACTCCTTATTTAGTATATAGGGTTGATTCATTATCATTGAACTTATGGTCAATTACACTGTAACTCATGCCTGAAGGAAGCTTAGCTAACATGAAAATTTTCTCTATAAAGCACATCACAACCTCTACACTTTAGGGACCATAGACAGCACTGCAGAACAAGGGATTTTAAACAATGAGATCACCAACGAAAAGTACAAAAATGCAAAAAATATGAGTCAATGTATTATGGAAAGGACACGAGTTAACAATATGAGAACTGAAACAAGAAAGCAGAGTGTCACCTTGTTCCACCTTAGCTGAGAATGTGTGTGTTGGACAACTCGAACTTTTTTCTGGTCTGCTTATGACTGTGAAAGTGCTACAAGAATTATTCATTTTGGGTTACAAATAAATTTTAGCAAGTAGACATCTTTGCAAATATGGAATCTGTGAGTAATAAAGACCGACTGTATCTCATTCTTATTAGACTTATGCTTACTGGTTTTAGTATCTACTGAGGTCAAATTGTCCCAGATTGGCCAGTGAGAACCCTTCAAGCTGTCTTCTGTGTCCTTCTGACATTCCCCCACCATTCCATGAACACATTTTTGCTTTCTTGTTCAACAAGGTTTTCTAGGCTTATCTTGTATTTTCTCTGCCCCGGTTGTAAAGTTAGACATTTTTTCCAGGGAGCTCTGGTTCCTTTTAGTAGAAGATGATTTTTAGAAACCAAGAATTGGGTGCAGATAGATGCATTCCTACCAGGGTGTCATTACTTCTAAGCCTTGTGAGCAGACAGAGGAAGATCTATATTTATACCCACACACAAACACACACAGCCTATCATCAATGTATGTATCTTCATCTAATCTACTTATCTATCTGCCTATCTGAACCAGTACCTCCAGTTCCAATCTGATGTAGAACAATCCCCCTTTCCATACTTGTAACCCCCTTTTTTGGCAGTTAGAAAACTGATTTTCATTATTTTCAATGTACTTATAAATTGCTAAGTTTCCTTTGATGTTAAAAAAAAAACCACAACACCCAGCCCCACCAACCAAAAGTATAACCCTGGATACCGTGCTCCCACCTCAGCTCCTGAAGGGCTGTAGGCTGAAAGCTTAGCCCCAGTAAAGGGAAACAAGAAAGGTAGGAGAAAGAAGAAAGAAACTTAAGAGTCGTTGAAGGTCTGAACTTCTGCTATTTTTTCTTAAATAACAACAGACTTCTTTAACAAGAGAAAAACCCATTTGATATAACTAGTATTTCTTAGAATAGTCATGTGATAGTATGTTTTTTAATGTTAAAATTTATTTTATATTTTTCCCAGGTTAGAGTCAACACATTGGCTTTTAATATATGGCTAACCTTAATTTGAATCTTTAAATGTTGATAGGTATTCTTAATTTTCAAAGTTTTAAATTTTGGATATGACATTTTAATTTACAGTGTTTACAAGAGGCTGTAGGATGATTTTATGAAACACTTTGATTATGTTTTTCTCTGTGTGTTTATCCATGTTAAAAAAACAAAGCATGCATCTTAATTTTTCTTTTAGATTGTTAATTTAAACTTTAAAAATTAAATTAAGATATAGAACATTAAATTTAGTTTAAATTTTAAAATGATGATGGTGAGCAGTCTTAACTTTCTAAGTTCAAATTCTGGTGACTAGGAAGCTATGAATTATAGCTTTAAGAAAAGCTGTTGGTTAATTTTAATGAAATGACTTTATTATGTGGCAAGAGATAACTGTTCTGAGATAACTGTATTGCCAAAAATAATGCAGCTTCTCTGTTCTATGAAGATACATACGGTTACATAAATATACATTCATTCACATTATAGCCATGTAAAAATACAGAAGTATATACACAAGAATCTCCGTTTATTCCCATTTTCCAAACTTAGTCCCATTCATAGAACATAAACCCTTAGTAGTCTTATATATATTGAGAAGTATATATGTGACCATATGTAAATATATTGTTTTGGTTTGTTTTTTAATTAAATAGAATTACATATATGCACATCTGTTTTTGCAGCTTGCTTTATACATTAATACAAATACTTCTTGGAGTTTTTTTATGCTGTACATACAGCGCTATTTCACTTTTAACCACTGTATAGTTTTTCATTATATGGCTGTGCTACAATTTATTTAAACATTTCTCATTGATGGAAATGTAGATTCCCGTCTATGCTATTATAAACTGTGCTCCAATGAAAATACTTGCACATATATCTTGAAGCATATAGATGGCAGGTTCTGTGAAATAAATGCCTAGACTCAAGGGTGAGACTTGCCTTTCTTTATTGCAGGCAGCTCAGCAGGTGCTAAGCCCACACCTTTGGGCTCTCCTTCCCCTTTGGAGCTCTTTGTTCCCCAATCCTAGTACCTCAGAGTGTCTGACCTGATGGCCTCATTCTTTTAGCTTTTTGAACTGTGACTATTTCCTGTTTCATAATGAGACTGGACAATCAGAAGTCCAACATCATGCAGATGCCCACAGAAGCAGAATAACTACATTATAATGTTGGTTAGGGGAAGTGGAAATTGTAATTTAAGGCTGCATTGTAGGCACTTTACACATCTAGTGGACGTTGAGGCCTTTACAATAAAAATATTGTTTTAATCAATGAAGAAATGCAAATAATTCTAACAGTTTTTGAAATAGGAGTCATCAGTTGGGTACTGCTTATAAGGATATTCATATGTGAGTATGTTTTTAGGTACTTTACTTAATTTCCATATCCTGGTTGAAAGTAAAAAAAAAAAAAACCCGAAAACAAAATTTATTTAATAAAGAGAATGGTTTCTAATCATCATCGAATCTATTTTTATTCTTTGGTGGCAAATGTTGCTGAATGGCTATTTCCAGTTCATTTCAAAAACAATTCAGTTTTATTTTGTTTTCCATCCATTGTTTATAACATTCGTTTGTCATTTTTGTCATTTTGTAGACCTACCAAGAGCAGCTGTCAGGATCTTAAGCAACATGACATTCCTTTTTGTGAGTTTGTCATACACAGCTGAGAGTGCCATTGTAACTGCTTTCATTACCTTCATTCCCAAGTTCATCGAGTCACAGTTTGGTATCCCAGCCTCCAATGCCAGCATCTACACTGGTAAGGCACTGCCGCTAGGGCTGCTTGAAAACATGATCATTTTGACCATGAAATGGAATGGGTGAAGAGAAAGTTCAATCTAACATCGGAGTGTTAAACAAATTCATTAACAGCTACCTTTCCCCCTAGATTCTAGGAGGAGAAAATCCTAAAACGTGTTCTCTTTGATTCAGATTGTATTACCATGTGACACATTTCCCAACTGTGTTTTGGGAAGGGAGAGAATTTTGCATATTTATATTTCTATGGTTAAAAAAATGAAACAGGCAATGACATTCAAATTTAAATCTAAATAGGCCTTTTTATGGGTTGGCATGGGTCTTAAAGTGTTAAGTTAAAAAAGTTGATAACCTGAAATATAGAACGGTTTAATGGTATCAGGATTTCCCCTTCAGAAATGTGAACAGATTTTAATTGAATTACTGGAGATGTGTGAATTTAAAAAGGAAATGTATGAATTTTATTTTAGATGTTTGATGCCTGGGCAAACTGATTTTTAGGAGACTTTGATGCACATACCCACAGTACTTAGTGTTCAAATCTTCTTTCATAATAAATTGGATGCTTAGAAATGTGGAAAGATGTAAAGACTTAGAACCATGCCAAATGCCCATCAGTGATATACTGGATAAAGAAAATGTGGCACATATACACCATGGAATAATATGCAGCCATAAAAAGGGTGAGCTCATGTCCTTTTCAGGGACATGGATGTAGGTGGAAACTATCATTCTCAGCAAACTAACATAGGAACAGAGAACCAGACACCACATGTTCTCACTAATAATTGGGAGTTGAACAATGAGAACACATGGACACAGGGAGGGGAACATCATACACTGGGACCTGTCAGGGAGTTGGGGGCTAGGGTAGGGATAGCATTAGGAGAACATAGATGACAGGTTGATGGGTGCAGCAAACCACCATGCCACACGTATATCTATGTAACAAACCTGCAGGTTCTGCACATGTATCCCAGAACTTATATAAGAAGTATATAAAAAATGTGGAAACATTAATTCTCAGATATTGGAGGCATTTTCAGTATATTATATCATGTAATATTCTAGATATTTTCTTAGTGGTATCAAATATGGCTGGTTGAACATATCTTCCTAAAGGCTTAATTTATTTAATAAAGAATATTTCAACAGTTGAAGTATATTTAAATAGTGTAGAATTATGATAACTTTTCAGATTACTTAGGCTCCTCCTTTCTCCAATTCCACACTCAAGTCCAGTAAATTTGAATTATCTGAAAATGAACAGGCAAGATTACGTTACTGTAGAAAGAGAAACTGATTTGAAAGATTTGGGTAATCACTTTGTTCTCTACTTCATCTTACACATTGAAACACATACAACATTGGTTTGTGGGTTCAGGATAGCACATGTTTTTGTAAAGAATATACTGCTGTGGACTATTGTAATTGTGACTTAAAATATGTTGTTCTTGATCTTGGTTGCAAAATACATGCTTAATCTGTATTAAGGTAAAATTTCCAGATTATTTTCCAGTGTGGTTATGAGAAAATCTAAATCTTCCATTTGCAGTTTAACTCTTCCAGTAACCCTTTGTTGAGCAATGATTTTTGGACAGGGAAATCAAAAGTTGTCTTGTAGTTAGATTCAAAGCCACACAGCCGTTAATTGTAGAGTCCCCAGCATTTCCCAAACTAACTTTCAATATTCAAAGGTGTTACTGGAAAGAAGGTTCATAGTAAAATAAATTTGGAACTTGCTGAGTTAAAGAATGTATCATAGGATTTTTTACTCTAGGCCCTTTCCTTTCCTTTAATATACTGATAAGCGCTGTGAAACTCCCAGAAGACAACTCAGACAACAGCCTTTTCCAAAGTCATTTGACCATGAAACCAGAGTTTTTTAGAGGCATCTTTTTCATAAACAGTGTTCCCCAGGATTCACATAGGGAAGCCCTCCTGTGTGCCCTGGTTCCAGCCAGACTAGGGAGCAGAGCTGCCTAGATCATTCCATTTCTCTGTAGATGCACCACTTTCACCTCCAGGGTTAGTGGGAGAGTGGGGCAGTGCTGAGCTGGGTAGCACTAACGCACCTTGAATGGTTACTGACTAAAACCATCTCTTGGTTACTGGTAGAGGCTGAGGCAGGAGGTGGTGACACCAATGTCTGACAAGGGCATCATTGCAAGGTCACAGTCAATCCCACTTCACTCCTCTTGTGTAGTGTGTTTCTGCTGAACACTAGTGTCTGTGTCACACTGCACTCTCCCTGCTTGTGTTCTTTCTGCTAACCCATTTGGGGTCATATTTATCTTTTAAACTAGTTAAATATTATGAAGTTGGTATTTTGGAGAAGCCTTAATGATGGGAAGAACCCTTGTATTAGTCTGTTCTTACACTGCTGTAAAGATATACCCAAGACTGGGTAATTTATAAAGAAAAGTGGTTTAATTGATTCACAGTTCTGCATGGCTGGGGAGGCCTCAGGAAACTTACCGTCACAGCGGAAGGGGAAGAGGCATGTCTTACATGGTGGCAGGTGAAAGAAAGAGCAAGAGCAGGAAAAACTGCCTTATAAAACTATCAGGTCTTGTGAGAACTCTCACCATCATAAGAATAGCATGGGGGGAACCATTACCTCCCACCTGGTGCCTCCCTTGATACATGGGGATGATGCGGATTACAGTTTGAGAAGAGACTTGAGTGGGGACACAGAGCCAACCCATATCAGCCCTGATGGAGCAGTTACACAGGGTGCCCTTGGAATCTGTTCACGGCGGCTGCTCACCAGTTGCGTGACTTTGATCAAGTCACTTTCCTCCCTAAATTTCAGCTGAAGCTGGAGTTTATCTGTAACTTGAGGATAATCTCTTCCCTGTCTTTCTGTGTCGGCATTGCTGTGAGGAATAAATGAAGCAGTGAATAGTGATTCGTTTTGAAGCTTACCTAACTTCACGTAGGTACCACAACATAAATGGAAAAATACAACCTGATTATATCACAGTAAAGAAAATGGTTATTTATGGTGACAGTATCTTCCATCTGAAGTTGTGCAGTTTGAACGGCTCTGAACATAAAATCTCTGTAATAATAATGATGATAACGATAATAAAAGCACTGCTGACATGTACTGAATGTTTACGAAGTGCAAGGCTCTACCTAACCAATTATATGTGGATAACATCATTTAATCCATGTAACTAATGCCTATGAAGTAGATATTATTAATGATGCCCATTTTCTAGATGAGAAAAAAAGGCCCAGAGAAGTTTAAATAACTTGATTAAAGGCAAATAGTGTTAGAAGCGCATGCTAGAATCTTGTACTCCTTGGAGTCTATAAATATCGCCAAGTGGTTTTTACTGAAATATTTAGTAGGTATACACTGTTGTCATCATTTCGATTTAGTTGTTTTACTATTTCCACAAAGACAATATTCCAGTGGTTTTAGGATTCCATGCCCACCCACTCAGCCTCTGAGCCACGGTTTACAATGTCCGTTTTTGGAGCACAGTGATCTTTCAACATTGCTTTTGCTTGGGCTCTTGGCTTTTGATGTGTAGAATTACAAAGAGTTAGAGCAATTGGTTTGTCTACAAGGAGAAGTAGGCTTGGAAACTTCCATTTTGTTTTTCACTGTAGAATAATTGAGATACTTATTTCTGTGGTAAAAGAATTAAGTTGGGATGTAATTTTAAAAATTACTGTAATTTTTATTGTTGTCTAAATAACCAAATATTTGCCATCTATCTTCAGCCACTGATTTCGGGTTTGGTTGAAGTGATTCACAGCAGTGCCACTGAACTCAAATTGCAGCCTTTGGGAATCAAGAAACATATGAATGGGCTTTGATTTGCTTCATTCTTCTAAGGTCATCAGTAGCTTTTATGTAATTTTATGAGCAGTTTTTAAAATCCATTTTTACACTGGTTTTATAAATGTATACATAGATTTTTTAAAATGTTGAGATTAAGTGTTTAAATACAAATAGAGTATTTTAGGTATAGATGTCCACTGTCACCAGCCATTTCCAAGGTCAGGTGATGACACTTGACCCTGAGATGTGTGTCGACACCACACTCAAGAGTGGTGGCTCTGAGAAAGGAGAAAGGTACTTGCAAACCAACATTCTGTAGCGGCTGCTAAACTCTTCCCACTTATATCATTTGAATCATTATTGAGATGAATAGAAGCTATTAGGAACAAAAAGTGACAATTATAGGCTCTTTGTCTTTTGGACAGAGAGGTATGTATTAATATGATGAATTACATTTGTTTTTTTCAATGCTAATGAGAACTTTTGTAAAAGCTTATGGTGGACAAAAAGAACACTCAGATTCTCTTTATTTATTTATTTAGCATTCGACTGATTTAAGGAATGCGTCCGTGTCTACCATGTGGCAGGTTCTTAGCCAGTACTCTAATGATGACGGTTAAACGGTTCAGTTGCTGTTTAAAAATGTCTTTAAGACAAAATGACAAGAAACACATCAGCATTTCTTGCAGGAAAAGATACCACATGGCATCAGCATTAAAGTAAAGATGTGTTAGGCTGATGCAAAAGTAATTGCAGTTTTTGCTGTGCAAGTAATGACAAAAACTGCAATTACTGGCTGGGCATGGTGCCTCACACCTGTAATCCCAACACTTTGGAAGGCTAAGGTGGGTGGATCACTTGAGGTCAGGAGTTCAAGACCAGCCTGGCCAACATGGCGAAACCTTGTCTGATGACACGCGCCTATAATCCCAGCTACTCAGGAGGCTGAGAGGCACAATAATTGCTTGAACCCGGGAGGCAGAGGTTATAGTGAGCCAAGATTGTGCTACTACACTCCAGCCTGGGAGACAGAGTGAGACTTCATCTCAAAAAAAGAAAAATATGGCAATTGCCTTTGCACCAACATAATACTTTGCAGCCACAGGCCATCTTTCACAGCAAGAGGCAGGATCCACTTGTCCCCCTCAGAAGCGAGTGGCAGGACCCACTTTCTCTCTTATACCAGGCTCACGATGTGTGCA